TTGTGGACACTTGTTCTTCATGAAGCTATGAGCAAATGCCCATCCAGTGATCATTCACCACTCATGTAAGCAATTGTTATTTCTGCCTGGCCTTTGGTTGAGCACAGTATTTCTTTCTTTTTGTTTTTCTCTGATGCTGATAGTAAGCATATAGACCACAGCATGTAAAATAGTCATTTGATAGGTGAAGAACCTAGAGGCTCAGAAAGGTGAACTAATTTCATTAGGATATAGAGGGTGCAGGGCCAAGGGCATGCTGTGCTAGCATTCAGGCCCACCATCTCCCCAACAGGGCTCTTCTCCCTTTGTTACACCACCTGATTGGACAGTGCTTACAGGAAACACTACCTGACTCATGTACCCTGCTCTCATTGTGTTCCTTCATAGATGAATGTTAAGCTTACTACTTTATTTTTTATTTATTTATTTACTTATTTATTTTTTGCGGTACGCGGGCCTCTCACTGTTGTGGCCTCTCCCGTTGCGGAGCACAGGCTCCGGACGCGCAGGCTCCGCGGCCATGGCTCACGGGCTTAGCCGCTCCGCGGCATGTGGGATCCTCCCGGACCGGGGCACGAACCCGTGTCCCCTGCATCCGCAGGCGGACTCTCAACCACTGCGCCACCAGGGAAGCCCAAGCTTACTACTTTATTACAGTATTAAGGAGAGTGGGATCTCTTTAATTTATGATCTCCATGTATCATTCTTTTTTAGTCTATCATTGCTCAAAAAATGTTGCTTGATTTGAGCCACCATGATATGAGAAAATATGATTTAATAAAAACATTAAGATTATTCACAATGTAAAACTTAATCCTCACAAAAGTGCTTGCCGGAGTGTTCTTTTAGATAATGAGCTCTCCTATTGCCTTGGAGTTACATAATTAGATGTTTGAAAATGTGATAAATACACACTGTTTTCAGAAGGCACATATAGATAAAATGTGATGCACATATTTGGCTCAACCAAAGGTGAAGGCAAATCTTCCAAGTTTGTTTTGATTTTAGTTCTTGTTTTATACATGAAATTTAGTTGACTACCACTTAAACACCCATTTGTATACTCATTTACAATTATTATACCTTTGTAATTCAAAGTAGAATATTTCAATAATCCTGATGCTAACAGGAATAATAAAATTGAAAGGTTTGGTAAAATTTTCAAACAGCTCAAAATTATGAACTCATAGGATTACACAAGAAGTTATTTAAGCAGTGTTCTGTCAAAAGTCATTTGTTTGATCAGGTGAACATAGATGGATTAGAAACCTTGAGAATAAAAAAGAATTAAAAAAAAAAAAAAGACTAAAAATCCAGGGTGAGAAGTTGAAGGGTGCCAAAACAAAACAAAACAATCAGTTATATTACTTTTCTTTTTCAAACCAGACTGGAGTTAAAATTAATATATAGCTTTGGTATCTTAATATGAAAAGTTCTAGGATTTAAACTTTCATTCTCTTCCATCAAGACATCTTCGGATTACTGATTATTTTTTGTGGAAACTGACAGAAAGGATCTGTCTGTGGAGATAAAGGTATATATATGAGATACAAAATGTATTGTTAAAATCTTAACTATTGTTTAAGCAAAAAAAAAAAAGGAAAAAAAATTAGGACACACTTTTGCATTATTTTAAAATAATTTGTAGTCAATAAACCTACTTGAAATCTAGAGTGATTTTTTTTCAGGGCTGAATTATTTATACCAATAAAATAATTAAAAAGTAAAAGAAAAAAGTATTTGTTCAATTTATAGATGCACTAAACAGCAGCAAGGATATGAAATGTTTCAGCAGCCATTACAGTGTACAAAGACAAATATACACATGTATTTGCAACACAGATTAAGGCAAGATAAAAAATGGGCAATTCTCACTTCCAAGTAACTGAAACTTAAAACTTTCAATTTCTGTAGCTTAAATTACTCAACATGCAGGTGCATTCTTACGTACCAGTATGACAAGCAGAAGCATTAGAATTGTGCTAGAAAAGGTAGTTAAGGTATAAAATATATAATAAGGTACAGATCTCTGTCCTGTTATACTGAATTTTTGTCTTAAAGAAATGGATATATTTTTTAGGTTTTAACATACATATTGATAAAGGTCAAATTAGAGACAGAGCTGTGCTAACAAAAATGCCCCACTCTTAATTCATGCCTCTGCCCATCTTTTGAATATTTTTAAATTGACCTTTAGCATGCAGAAGAGTTAATGAGGTTCTACTCCTCCTACTCTACCTAAGTTTGCTCAGCTGATTCCTTGCCCTCGACAATGGCTGCAGTGCGATGAACTCGTCACTGAAAGCGACTGTGTTGGAGTACATCTATAAGTGGACAGAAAAGGGATGGGACATACAACAAGTCAGTGAGCTGTATTTATCACCTAAGAGACAGACACAGGACAAGCTTTGTAAAGACATTTGCCCCTACAAGAGTAGGATATATCATACATGGTACACATACATAACTGACATTTGTAGGGCCATTGGTTTTGCTATCAAAAGAATTTATTCTTAATACCACATTGTTATTCTGCAGAAAAACAAAGCTCAAAATAAATGCTGACAACTCTTCTTTTGATATGATTTTTCTTGCTACTTTTGGTAAGCAATGAAGTAAGTAGCTGACAACTTTCTAACAACTTTCTCAACATTTGAAATCAGAGGTGAAAGTACAAGGCTGAAATAAAAAAGATTACTGACTATGGCGAAAAAATGATGTCACACACGGGATATGAACGACCATATATTGTCTCGACAAAAACAAAAAAAATCCCCAGTAGGCTAGAAAATCCCTGAGTGGAAGTAGAGATTTCCTCTTTAGTTTATTTTTATTTCCATGTTTATTTTTTATTGACGTATAGTTGATTTACAATGTTGGGCCAATCTCTGCTGTACAGCAAAGTGACTCAATTTTAAAAATATATATCACATCCTTTTTCTCTTTAGATTAGATCACAGTTGAACATTCAGTCAAATCATTTAAAAGGAATTTAGTAGGGTAGAAAGGGAGATTATACTGGCTTTCATGCATAGAAAAATGATAGATTTTTTAAAATCAACTCCATTTTTAATCAATTTAGCCTATGGTAAAATAACTAAAATATATATAAAGTACTTTTAACTTTTTCTTGTCTAAGGGTCCGCCTTAAAGTATCAAATATTTCCTGTGTAATCCTTTAAAAAGAGGTCTATAAAAATGGTAACAGGACTAATATTATCACCTTTTATTATCATTAAGAAATCTCTATGAAAAGACAATGAATGCTCTGCCTAAAGAAAATTTCTAAGGATAAATGTAAATAAATCATTATTTACTTTTATAAAGAAGTAAGTTTTTAAGTGATGTCATTAATATATTTTGGTGAAATATAACTTTATATAGCCAAGAAGGCAAGACAAATATATTCTCCATAAAGGTCTAGAAAAAGTATAATAGACAATGTATTAAAAGTAGTATTCTATTATCATGAATATCTCTGAAGATTAGAAAAAAGATAGGCAAACCTTTCTGATATATATTTAAGTAATATATTGCACAGTGGAAAAGTCTGCCCATACTGATATAAATATATGCATAGGCAGACACAGTAATCAGATTATGCAAAGTTTATCAGCCCCATCTGAAGATCAGTATCAGAGCAACATCATCGTTCTTATAATTATGTTCTTACTGAGGACTTACTACATACAGACCCAGGGTTAGGCACTTTATATTAATGATCTCTAACCATCAAGTAAGGTAGTTATTATTCTGATTCTACAGAGGAAGAAACTGAGGCTTAGGGAAGTGACTTGATTAAGGACATACATTTTGTAAGTGGTTAAAACAGTATCTGAATTAAGTTTGTCAGGCTTCAGAGGCCTATGCTGCTTCAGTGGTGTTAAAATGTATATTGGCTAGGACTGAGTAACCAAAGCAAACAAGTGCTAAAGAAATGTTAATATGATCAACTGAAATTAAAACCAATACACTGTTTAAGAAGCCTAACTCAAATCACTAAATACTTAAGAAGCACTTATTCTATTTGTAGCATGAACACACAACTAAATTTCCAAAATTTGCTTGGCATATAGCAAACATGCAAAAAAACAAAAAACAAAACCAAACCCCCCACCCTAGGTAGAACTAAATGATTAATAAACTCTGTGTTTACAAGGGCAAAAAGTTGATTAGAATGTACTCTTGAGGACATATGTTCAATGTCATGATACGGCTAATAAGACAAACCAATATTTCTAGCTTATGTACAAGTCAAATACACAAAAAAGTCAAATATACTAAATAGCTATCATTTCTTGAGGACATACTCTGTGTCTGAACATTATTCCATTTAATCCTTATTACAAATGTAATGAGATAGACATTTGTCATAATTTTACCCATGAAGAAACAGAGACTTAAAGTTACAGAGCTACTCAGTGGTAGAATGTGGGTTTTGAACCCACAACTATCAGGCCCTAAAGACCATATTCTTAAACACTATGTAACATACTATTAATATCTGCTGTAGTTTAATATTATTAGTAAGTGTTTAGTGAAAGAATATATTTTATAAAAATCCATTCTGCAGAAATTATTTAGGTTAAAGAACTTATTTCATACTTTTGTTGAAAACAATATGACCTGAAGAAGTACTACTGAAATTCTAATGGTTCTAAAGAAATGGATATATATCCCAATTATATATATTTGATAGAAGGCTGTGATAATACTATTTAAGACATATTTATACTATTATTTGGACATAACTTGATAGTTTTATACTTAAAATCTAGTTCTATTAATAACACAATTTAATTTTTAAAAATTATAATTTTTCAGGGGCATAAAATTCATAGCAACAATAACAACTTTAAAAATATCACATGTAACAATATTTATATTGCAAAATACTTGATACAGGAATAATTTCCTATTTTCTAATATAAGCAAATTATAATGACAGCTATTCATCAAGACTCCTAATTAAAAAGGTATTGTATATAAAAAGTGGTTACCTGTGCCTTTTCAATATTTGTAGGATGAAACTGTCGGTCAAATACTTTCTTCACAATATCAAGAAATAGGCATGTAACAACCATGAGAATTATGGCAAACCAAGCAGAACCACTTGACAGGAGCTGAATAAATACAAAGTACGTATTCTGGGAGCTCAAAAATGGCCTGCAAAGAAAGAAAGTGGGCTTATAATAAAAGAAGAAACCGACAAGACAGATTCTTAAATCAAGACATTAAGTAAACCCACTATACATGAAGGTTACAATTTTAAGAATACTCCAGGAAAATATTCAAAATGTAGAATCAGTGTAATTTAATTTAATCAACTAACTAATAAAACATGGTAGATTTTAATTGTTAAGAATAAAATCCAATTTAATTCATTTGAATGACAACCATAGTTTTTATAATTAGGAAAGTGGCAAGTAATTGACTTATCCTATCTTAGTGTTAGGATAATTCAAAAGAATTATGTAGTGAATAATACAGACTTAAGAGACCAAAAAAGCAAGAAAAAGTATGTAATAAAATATTTTCTACTAAGCAACTACAAGCTTGATTACCCAAATTTTAGGTTGAAAAGCTCTACTTAGAGGATCTTCTCTACACATGGATTTTAAAATAAATGTACTCACAAATATTAGTTCTACATAGTAGTAGGTATTGTCAAGATACTCTTTTTGGGTTTGTGTATATATCACTTCAAAAGAATGAGGGGAAATACCGGAAGAAATGCAGAAATAAAGAGGATTAAAAACAAACAAATGATATTCATTAGAGTATCTTTTTATAATCCTAAATGAAAGTTAATGTTTAGCCAATACAAGTTTTTTTCCCTGCCTTTTGTAATTTTGCCTGATACAGGGATCACAGGCACAGTAGGCAATGTAATATACATTCTCCAATTGAGAGATTTCGGCTGTCCATCACTTACCAAAGAATCTTAGGAAAAGCATTAATTTTTAATCTATCAGAATAGCTGAATATCTGATTTTATCAATGAATATGCAGCACACTACTTTTGAGAGAGAAGTTAACTCATTCATGAAAATTTAATGATTCTACATGACTTTTTAAATTATATACATTAATAATAATTTAGAGGTAATATGATTAGTGTAAAGAACATTAATTTTCACGTAAATCCTAGCTTTGCTACTTTTAACCGTTGTGATCCTGGAGCTCAGTTTCCAAATAGAAAAAAATGGGGTAACAAGATTATCGTGATGAATCAATGTAATATCTTAGGTAAAACACTAGACTATAGTAGGTATTCAGTAATTGTTAGTTTCTTTTTTCTTCCATATCAGTAAGATCAACTGAAAAAACTAAATTTCTTATCAGGATAGGGTCTCAAAACTATTCTGAGTAGAATTTGTTCATAGTAAAATCTATCATAATAACTATTTATTAGAGTTGAATCAATGTAACTAAAATAAAATATAGTCACTCACCAGAGAATCCCTCCATAAAACAAAGAAAATACAAAATAGAATAAAATAGATCCCCAGGTAACAAGATGATTGATCCAGGTCCAAAAATGAGTTTCCAAAGCCATCTAAAAAAATAAATTAAAAAATCCTTAATGTAAATTAATAAATCTTTAACTTCTCAGCTAAAACTCAAGAATAAAATGTATCAATTATAAGTGACTAAGGTTGCCATGGCGAAGTCCCTCAGAAGATAAATATTAATGAAAAGATCCTAGTATGAAATTCAACAATTTCAAGTTTATAGTATTTTTCTTCTGTGAGGAAGCAGTATTAAAATTTCATGAGTACTTTATTCAGAACTCCATGGCCTAAACCAGCTTGTGTTGTCTTGCATTACATAGAGAGAAGCAGAATTTCGGAGATGAGTATTGAGGGGTTAACCTTTATCTGACCATAAAAATCAGCTGAGCCTTTCCAAAATTATGAATTTTAAAAATGATTCATAATGAATCTTTTGACAAAAATTAAAATGAATTATTAAACTAGGCATCCATGAAATTATTCATGACTCAAAAAGGAAAATCTATCAACAAAGAAATGAGGAAAATTAACTAAGAATTATGCAGACACAAAATGTATCCATGCTTCTAATTTCTGTACCATACCTTTACTGTGACTGTAATAACCATGACTGTGAAGACCAAGGTACCAAATGTCCAATTTCCAAACATCTAAAACAGAACGAATAAACCAGTATTGCATTATGGGTTAAAAGGATGCTAAATCAGAAGTGACGCAAAGAGTAGTGTACATTCTTTACTAAAAATCATTTGCATCATTTACACCAGTTACATTTGAAATCTGTGACTAGATTAGTAAAGTTAAAGGAGAATGAGAAGAAACACCACAAAGCATTATCATGTTTATTATTATGTAAAATGATTCTTTGGATAACATTATCAGACTGGAAACTCAAAGATGGGTTTGGAATTATGTGGCACAGTTTTTAGTGATAATGATACAGCTGTTAGTGACTGCTTTACTTCTATCACAAAGTAAAAATGATAATAAAACCCTGTTCAATCACAATTATTTTCTGAAACCATTCCAACCAGATGTCACAGCAGATCACCTGCCACTGTATTTCTGGACACACTATAGAAAGAGCAGGTAAAAAGAAACTTATACACAAAACCAACACCTGAAAGGAAAGATAATGGCCAGTGGACCTATTCAAGGGATTTCACGTAAAAATGCAGTTAATGCCAGTTAGATAGTATTGCCCTGGGCTTTATAGCCAAAACTTACTAAGGCCTATTAAAAATGCAGAATCCCCAAAGAATGTCAGGATTTAATTTCCACAAATAAGAGCACAACCAGAAATTTATGTTAATTTAGTTTACAAAGTAGTCATAATCTTTACCATTGGTTTAAAAAATTATTTACAAGACTGGTTGTTTAAAAAAAAAAGAAAAAGAAAGAAAAAAAATACGGGTTCCAATGGCAATAAAACGCATCTAAGTAATTAAAGATAAACCACAACTTCAGTGCTTATAAAATTATTGTTTATTTAAAAATACTTAGTATATTGCCTGGTATAAATAAAATACTCAACAAAAATTTTTAAAACTTGTGTGGAAACACAAAAGACCCTGAATAGCCAAAACAATCTTGAGAAAGGATAATGGAGCTGGAGGAATCACACTCTGACTCCAGACTATGCTATAAAGCTAATGCAATCAAAACAGTATGGCACCAGCACAAAAACAAACATATAGATCAATGCAACAGGATAGAAAGCCCAGAAATAAACCCATGCACCTATGGTCAATTAATCTATGACAAAGGAGGCAATAATATACAATGGAGAAAAGACAGTCTCTTCAATAAGTGGTGCTGGGAAAATTGGACAGCTACACATAAAAGAATAAAATTAGAACATTCTCTAACACCACATACAAAAATAAACTCAAAATGGATGAAAGACCTAAATGTAAAACTTCTAGAGGAAAACACAGGCAGACCACTCTTTGACATAAAATGCAGGAATATTTTTTTGGATCTGTCTCCTAAAGCAATGGAAATAAAATCAAAAATAAACATGGGACCTAACTAAGCTTAAAAGCTTTTGCACAGCAAAGGAAACTATCCACAAAATGACAACTTATAGACTGGGAGAAAATACTTGCAAATGATGCTACTGACATGGTATTAATTTCCAAAGTATACAGTTCATGCAGCTTAATTATCAAAAAAAACAAACGACCCAATCAAAAAATGGGCAGAAGACATAAAAAGACATTTCTCTAAAGAAAACATACAGATGGCCAACAGGCATATGAAAAGATGCTCAATATAACTAATTATAGGAGAAATGCAAATCGAAACTACAATGACGTATCCCCTCACACTGGTCAGAATGGCCATTATTAAAAAGTCTACAAATAGTAAATGCTGGAGAGGGTGTGGCGAAAAAGGAACCCTCTTACACTGTTGGTGGGAATGTAAATTAGTGCAGCCATTTAGGAGAATAGTATGGAGGTTCCTTAAAAAGCTAAAAAGAGTTACCATATGATCCTGCAATCCCAATCCTGGACATATATCTGGAGAAAACTCTAATTTGAAAAGATACATAGACCCCAGTGTTCACAGCAGCACTATTTACAATAGCCAAGACATGGAAGCAACCTAAATGTCCATTGACAGGTGAATGGACAAAGAAGATGTGGTACATATACACAATGGAGTATCAGTCAGCCATAAAAAAGAATGAAATCATGCCATTTGCAGCAACATGGATGGACCCAGAGTTTATCATATTAAGTGAAGTCAGAGAAAGACAAATAAAATAAGATATTGCTTAAATGTGGAATCTTAAAAATGATACAAATGAACTTATTTACAAAAGAGAAATAGATTCACAGACATAGAAAACAAACGTATGGTTACCAAAGGGGATAGCGGGGGGCGGTGGGGGGGGGTGGGAGAAGATAAATTAGAAGTTTGGGATTAAAATATACACACTACTAAATATAAAATAGGTAAACAACAAGGACCTAATAGCACAGGGAACTATACTCACTATCTTGTAATAACATATAATGGAAGAAAATCTGAAAAAGAATATTTATATATATATAACTGAATCACTAAGCTGTACACTTGCAACTAACAACACTGTAAATTCACTATACTTCAGTTAAAAAAATAAATAGCTTAAAAGGCAAAAAAATCAATAAATAATGGTTATTATAATCAACAATGAAACATTAATATTCCTTCATTTGAGGGTATTTTGGGGAGTTTATTTGTCAAGAGGAAAATAATGGAAAAGTCATATTGACTTTTCCTGCTTTTATCATCTCTAGAAATGACCTGGAAATACTGAAAAATCATTGGATCTCACTTAACTCAGCTCTTAAGAGAGCCAGCTCCTCTTTCAGGGATATGGAGATAGGTAATTGATGTAGTCAGGGAACCTGGGTCTGGGAGTGGTAACAACCACACATGTCTATCCCTCAGTATATGGTTTTACTGGGCCCAGACTGGGGCTAGTTACATGGTATCTTCCTTAGAAGCAGAGGAAGATTTAGGGTTCCTTCTAGCATTCAAGGCCCTAGAGGGAGCTGTAGAAAACACATTCACATTCTCTCTCCTTTTTGGATAAAATTAGCACAAGTTATGTATTTCAACTGCATCAGTCAGTTAAGGCTCTTTCCATTCTGTTTTCCCCTTGAATTAGTTTAGGTGGTGATGAAGTGAGTGGCAGAGGGGATTTTGGGGATCTGGCTAAAGAGAAGTTGAGTTGGGCTTATTACATTGGCTTGGGTTAAGTGGGACCTATTTATGTCACTCATAATCACTTTCACATATACTTGTGTTTGTACTTACAGTTCTTTCCCTTAAAGAGGGCCTGCCAAAACGAGTAAGGCTTAGATTACTCTACTAAACCTGGATCTGCCCCTGCTCAGAATAGACAGACCTCTTATACTATGTGTAAGCTCCTGACCTCAAGGAGCTTACACATAGTGGAGGAGGCAAAAAATAAATAACCTAAATA